ATATATATATAATTCAGGGAAACGAGCAGTGCATGTCACTCAATGTTGTTACAGGCATGGTACCCATAATCACTAAAAAGCTTAATCTTTGAAAGCAAAGTACCATCACATCGCCAGTCCTTGCAAATCTAGGCAGGCCTGACAGAATGCTGATTCTCTAGCTACTCGTCCGAAAGGCCTTGGTAGTAAGTAAACAGACTAGCTGCATTGTGTGGTGGAGGCAGTGGGAAGGTTAACATGACAAAGGATGAAGCTACTCACCCGTAATGTTGTGACTGTAGTAGGGTCCCTATATCGCCCATCTTCTTCCTTCAAGTTATAGCCTTCAGGTCTTTTGTCTCTTTCACTGATTTTCCACAATTTTATTGTTTTATCTGAAATATATTTTAGCAACCAAACAAGTAGCATTATAGGAAGGCTTCAGATCTTCATCAATAAATTCAATTGATCATATAAAGTTACCTTATACCATCAATCTATCAAGCTCAGTGTTGTCTACTCGGATCAACAGTGACTCTCCAGGGTCTCTTTAACTGGAGACTTAACCTGGGACTATAATACATGCACAACCACATTTTCTAACACTGAGCCATGCCCTTTTCTGCTCTGGAAAACGCAAATAGCTATGAACTGAAACCAGGTGCAGGCAACAGAACTATCTCTTGTAGCCCAGTAGTCCTAATTGAAGCCCATGAACCAGCAACATTTCTGCAGCTACCCATGCATACACATCTGGATACTCACTGGGGTATACAGAATTGGCCTTAGGATAGTTCCAACATGCCACCAGTCCCCTCAGCTACTGGGCCATGAAGGAGGCAGTCTGACTGGACCTCTCTGCCATGGCCCAGAGGCTCTTCTCATGCCGTCTGATGAGCATGCAGAGTGAGAGGGTTTCCCCCCCCCATGCGGGCAACATTGTCAGTTCTCATGGCCCACGCCTGCTCCCCTGGACAGGTGAGCAGTTGGTCTTCCCAAAGGTCAACTTGCCACTATTCAGCCAACCAGTCCTGACTGAAGTGAGCACATACTTGTGCCTGCATCCTCTCTCTCAGTCTGTGCTGGGAAGCTGGGGTGAAACACTCTTCCCCAAATTAAAATGAGACTGGAAAGAAGTAGGAGGACCATTAACCAGTTGGACTGGCACAGAAATGCCCCGCCAATCTCCCCTCTGCCATTCTGAATCCACCTGCACCAAAATACCTCTACCGAACCCTGGTAGGAGTGCAAAACAGGGTGATATTGAAGGTGGTGTGTTCAAGTTCACTCACTGAGTCACCAGCCACCCTAAACCAAAACTGCATTCTGAAATTAACACAGCAGCAGCACAAAAACTGTTCTTCATCTTGATGGAGATGAAAGGATAGAGTAGGATAGTGAGACCTGTGCAAACAAAAACCAGCAGAACCCACAGGAGCACCATAAATAATGAAGCAAGGGCAGCTGCAGTACCTAGGCTAAGGCTCCTTCACTGAGGCAGTGATGGTTGGTGTACTGCTCCTGCTGAGAGAGGAAGACCAGAGTGGACACACAACACCCCCCTCACTTTCTGAGGCCTTCCCTGGGGAAATGGTGTATAGGGTTTCTCTGGGTTTGCCCTTGGCTTTGGAAGAAAACAAAACATTACTGGGTTTCTGTGTATTGGTTCAGGTAGGCTAGCAAATGTTCCTCACCCCTGCACTTTTGAGTGTTCTGCTGGGCTTCTACTGCCATTGCTTCTTTAAAAAACCCTGCTGGGATTCTGTGGTGTGACACTGGTTAGTTCTGTTGGGTTTGCACTGCTGCCACATCGACACTGGGTTGTGCTGCTGGATACTATTGCACTGATTCTGCTGTCTTTGCAACCCTCCTCCCCCTCGCTCAGACTGGAATCCTGTGCTTGACATCAGACCGGTTGAATGGCATTTGCCAAAATGACACTGAGTTCTGCTGCTATGCACTAGTAGGCTGGCATTGGGTTGTGCTGCTGGGCACTACTGTGCTGGTTCTGCTGTCCTTGCAACCCCCCTCCCCCTTGCTTGGATTATGATTCTGTGCTTGACATCAGTCCTGTTGAGCTGGCATTTGTCACAATGACACTGGGTTCTGCTGCTAACATTGCACTGGTTCTGCTGTCCTTGCAGAAATGCCCCTCCCCTCAGTTTCTATTTCAGAGATTTTCAGATTTGACCTTAGTCCTATTGAGTTTTGGCACAGCCACAGTGTTCTGTTACTGGCCTTGCAAAAATGTCCCCACCACTTCACTTTCTACTGCAAAGATTCTCTGGGACATTCTGCTGGGCTTATATTGCCTTGCTATTTCCCCCCACTGGAAACAATAGAGGATGGGGACACCTTTTTTGGGTGCCCATAGAATTGGATGCTCTGGTCCAATCTCTTTGAAACTTGGGGGTCTTTTGAGGAGAGGCTTCAGCAGCTACATTTCAAATTTGGTGTCTATACCTCAACCCCCCACCCCCTCCTGACCACTGAATATACCCCAGGAGATTTGCCATTCACTTCAATGGTCCCCATAGGGTATAATGGACCCAAATAAATTTGGGTTTCCTGAATATTTACAAAATCCGAATACCATACTGTATTGGTATTCAGGAATACTGGGAAATAATGATATTTTCCAGGTCCAATATACCCAAATCTGGGGAGAATTCCCCCCCCCCGCACACCTGTACAGACTGGCAATAAGAGGGATTTCAAATCAAACATTGTGGCTTACAACATCAAAACAAGAGATAAGAGAGAAGTCTTCCCAGAAACAGGAGAATCTTGATCATCATAAAGCTTAAGATATGAACAGGCCCAACTTACAAATAGCACATTCTGGGATCCTGATAGTTTTGTGTGTGCCCGCCCCACCCAATTCTGAGGGCAGTGAGATATGACAGAACTATTTTCCATGGGTCTGCCCCATTCATATATAAAAGGGTCTTAACAGTGAAAAGCATGCACGGGGTCTTGACCTCCCTCCACTGGCACCTCACCTCCCACAGTGGGATGCCCCAAGTATTTTTCTCTTCTTTGTATTTGTTATTTGTATATACAAGTAACTGAGAGAAGTGGATGGAGCAACAGAATTAAGGGAAGATGTGGAGGAGAAGGGAATATGCAGCACCCATCACTGAAGACATAGCCACACTCTCTCCTGCCAACCCTGTTTCATATATCAGTGTGAAAATCAACATGCCCCCACTACGATCATGCCTCACTGGCCCCAAGTACATAATACTTGTGAATTAGTTTAGGAGGCGAAGAACCTACGTGCAGCCCCAATACATCAGACAAAAGTTAAGCCCAAGTAAAACACCCTGCGTCCAACCCTGGCCAGCCAGGTGCCTCTAGCAAGTCTACAAGGAAAAGGAGGATGGCAGAAGATATGCTTTGTAATACAGCCATAGCACAACAGTGGACTGTTGCATATTACAGGAAACCCTCCCACCTTGCACACCATAATTTAGAAAGCCTTACCGTTTGTGGACAATAAAAACTGAGCAGCATTTTTCTGGGGTAACCACCTAATTTTGTTGATCTTCTCTTCAATTTCTAAGCTTTTCAAGTAGTCAAACTCTGGTTCATGGCTTTGAAAGGTACTGTAAACATTGTATTCACCTCTGCTGTGAGACTGTGTTTTGTTCTGAAAGAGAGGACACAGATCTGGTGAGCAGAGCGGCCTGGCTATATGTGCAGGCTACAGTTTACAACAGGGCCACCCACCTTACACAACACACTGGTTGTGGGCTGCCAGTCAGTGAAATAAATCAGCAATTAAACCCCTATGGGTTTAATGGACTAAGTCTGTGTTCATGTGCAATCTGAAATTACAATTCTAAAAAAAACCCCAACAACAGTTTTTAGATGATTCACACAGGTTGCCACAGGTGCTTTGTTAGAAGAGGCATTCTCTTCTGTGTGAGAGAACAAAAATACATTCCCAATGTGGTTCCTGCTGCCAATGGATTTATAAAGTACATGACTTAAAAATAGTTTCCTTTTTACAAAATGTTGCCTTCTCAGTCAGAGATACCTTAGAAACCGATCAACCAAACTGACTAAGCATTTCAGCTCTATTTTTTTTAAGGCACACACTTAAAACCTCTTAAGAGCATACTTTAAAACAAGATGCATGAATGAAATGAATGACTATTTGAAAATAAGCACAATAAATTCCATACACCCAATGAAGATGTAGCAAGGCTTGGTTTACTACTATGTCAACTGGACCTTACAGTTCAAGTGCATGTCTGTGTATGGAAGGCAATTCAGGTACTCCTGTCAATGTCTTGATTTCAGACTATTCAAGAGGAATTAAAAATGCCCTCTAAAAAGAATGTAGGTTGAATCAACACATTTTGGATTCGCCTACACTTACCCCTCTCTTTTAAGATAGATTTTCTTTAGCAAAACTTTAGTGATTCAGAACAGATTAAGTTTTTAAGTCTGCAGGTCAACAGTTTTCAAAAGAATGACTCACATTTACAAGAGGTTCCAACTCCTTAGTCAAGCTATTAAATGAACAATCTCCACCTACAATATTTATTTATTTATTTATTTATTACTTTAACTTTTACCCCGCCCTCCCCGCCAAGGCAGGCTCAGGGCGGCTTCCACAAAACTGATGAACAATATACATTTTACAAATGATAAAATATAATAAATCATTTAAAACACAGACAAATCCGTTTAAAACATAACTTCTATGGCGATAGAAATAAAATGCAGTTTAAGGACACATTCGGCGGTGCCACCGCGCTAGGTCATGCTGGGTCTGAGTTCACACAGGGCGCTGCTGGTTAAGACGCCACTCCTAACAGAACGCCTGCCTAAAAAGCTCTGTTTTCATGGCCCTGAAGAACTGTGAAAGGTCCCGCAGGGCCCTGATCTCGGCAGGAAGCTCATTCCAATAGGACGCAGCTACGAACGAGAAAGCCCTGGTCCTAGTTGCCATCAACCTGACTTCCTTTGGGCCAGGGAGGTCCGGGTGGTTTTGGGATTCTGATTGCAGTGCTCTCTGGGGAACATGCGGGGAAAGGCTGTCCCTCAGGTAGGCCGGTCCCTGACCATAAAGGGCTTTAAAGGTCAAAACCAGCACCTTGAAACGAATCCGGAATGCTATTGGCAGCTATTGCAGAGTCTTAAGCATAGGCTGGATGTGCGCCCACCTGAGGTGTTAATAGGTGCCACAGATGGGTAGAGGCTACAAGGAAGTTACAGAGGGCTAGATGGAAAACAAGGAGGGGACCTAATGAACTTCAGGATTCCTCCAGCCTTGTGGGACATCATTGTCCAATACTACAAAAGAAAGGAAGGCAGAAATAACCTTGAATTTTTAAGAGCTGGAACGCTTTATTGTGCACACTCTTTCTTGTGACACTCGAATCCTAAAAAGGAGGGCAGAATCTTGTGCACTTGCTCATTCCCACCTGACAAGTACAGCAAGGCTGAGCACAATCCATGCCAAAGAATGAACCAGGAACAGCTGTTGCATTGCAAGAAGTCCTGGTCATGACTCATGGCTTGTATTCCCTTCAAGCTGTTACCTAAATCCAAGCACCCTGATGATTGCTTGCTTGTATCTGGAACCGAGACACAGTGATGCAACATGCACAGGTGTCATGCACGGGACTAGATGACACTGACAAAAAATCCCAGGGCATTCGTCCATGGCAGGAGTTGTAAAGCCAAACCCCAGCCTAATCTAATTAACATTGTGCCAGCATGAATCTTCCTTGAGCTGTCAATTAGAGATGGTGTTCACTTCCTGCCTCTTAAACCACTCCACGTTGCTTTGCACTGTTCAACCACTACCACGTTCCAGTCCTGGAATGACAGCAGCTCGGCAAGGAGTGAAAGAGTATGCTTGCAGAAATTCTACACAGGAATCATGTTTCAAGCAACACACTGTGGGACTGCCAACTGAATGGAACTCAGGGGTGCCAGCCTGCTGATACGGCATTGCTTTATGAACAAAACAAACACACCTCCGTGCCCTGGGGAGCTCTCCCCAATGCAGAAGAAAGAATAGGGCAGCAAACAGCATGAACAGAGCCCAAGATACTCTAGATAGGGTAAACGGTATCCTGTGGGTGTCATGACACACCCTGGATACTTTCAAAGAACTGTGACACACAGAGTTACAAACAGCTCCAGTGAATCCTAAAGGCCTCTATTCCAAACCTCTCTCACATGGCCAGGACATATGCAACACGTTCCTCAAACTGTGCTATGGGTATACGCTCTCTCTTGCCACGTTATTTTGAAATACGTATGAAGACGTATGCTTTGGTGGAATTTGTGAGGTTGCCTGAGGAAAGAGGAGGAGGAGAGAAATTTTCTGAGGAAAGGAAGAAAAAGACTTCTGAGGGAAAAGGGAGAACAGAAAGCTGTCTAAGAATGATTGTCCTGTGAAGAGAACAAGGTATCCCAAGGAGGAACCTGTAGACAGTGGTAGCCTACTGCAGCTGCCTCTTCACAGAGAGTCAGCCAGCCTCCAGGGCAGACTACAGAGACTTTCATATGCCCTGGAAGAGTAAAAGACTATCCCCTCTGTCATTCCTGCTTTAAATCGTGTTGCCCTAGATTCCATCATTTCTTCCCTCAACTTGGGTTGGTGGGAGAAATGGGGGTTCTAGTATCTAACATCCACATCCAGAAAAGGTCTAGTTGAACATCATACATTTTGAAACATTTATATCCCCCCTTTTCCTGATCAATAGGATTCAAAAGGGCTTACATCATTAAAACCAGCTATAAATCTCATTTTACAAAAAATACAATAAGAATAAAATGAAATACGATTAAGCCAATACATCTCCCCACCTTCATTAACAACTGACACCCAGATAATGTATTTTCAATCCACATTTAACACACTTTGCAAACGGATTTTATTGTGTGAAATGGCAAAATCCACTTGCAAATGATCAGTAAAGTGCATTGAAAGTGGACTGAAAGTGTGTTATTCAGCATGCGTAAAAGCATAGCTTAAGGCACCAAAAGAATGTTGGAAAAGCTCCACCTTACAGAGTCTTCAAAATGTCTGTCCTTGCCATGCTCCATGGCAAGCAGCTCAGGTTGGGAAAGGATTCAACCAGCAAGATGTCTATCAGCAGAAGCAGACCATTAAAAAGCTGAGAAGATTAAACCGTTATTAGAAAGCCTGGGTAAAAAGATGTGTTTTATCCTGGTGTATTAAAAAAATAAAATGGGGAAGGCATATCAAAGGCAAAGTGCCACCACAGAAAATGCACTGTCTGTAGTCACCACCAACCTCACCTCTGAAGGTGGGAGGCACAGAAAGCAGAGCTTGAGAGGCAGATCCTTGCTGGCTAGCTGTATAGTATGAGAGGAGATGATCCTTCAGGTATCCTGGCCCAAAGCTGTTTAGGGCTTAAAGGTACTATATCTGGAAACAGATGGGTAATCAGTGCAGGTATTTCAGCACAGGGGTGATACACTCCCTGTAACCATCCCCTGCATTTTGGACCGAGTTTTCCAAACCATTTTCAAAAGCAGCCCCATGTAGAGAGTACTGCAGTCTAACTTGAATGTGATAACCACATGGTTCATTCTAGACAGGTTATGCTTTTCAAGGAATGGTTATAGCTGGCAAGCCAGCCAGAGCTGATAAAAGGAGCTATGGCCATGGCGGAGAACTGAGCCTCCAACAGTAGGCCACGATCTTGTAACACCCCTCAATCTACAAACTTGCTCCTTTGGGGGAGTGCAACCCCCTCCAGGGCAAGCTGGCTCTGCAGTTCCTGAGCAGCTTCTCCATTGACCAACAGCAACTCAGTCTGGATTGAGCTTTGGTTTACTGGCCTTCATCCATCTCATTACCGTTACCAGGCAGTCATTCAGGGCTTCCTCAGACACACCTGGCTTAGCTGCTAAGGTTGATGATCTCCCAATGGGTTCATATAGATGTTAAATAGCATGGGGGACAAGATGGAATCCTGTGGAACTCCATAGCATAAATATCATGGGCAGCTGCTCAGCATTACCTTCTGAAATTGGTCGGTCAAATAAGAGTGGAACCACAGTGCCCCCTACTCCCAGTCCAGCCAGCCTCTCCATAGTTGATGGTATTGAAATTTGCTGAGAGGTCCAGGTGAATCAACAAGGATGCACTCCCCTATCACTCTCCTGGCAAGGGTCATTGAATTAGGGTGACCAAAACTGTTTCTATCCCAAAGCCAGACCTGAATCCAAACTGAAACATGTCCTCCAAGACCATCTGAAGATGTAAAGCTGCCATCTGCTTGAGAGCCAGCATGGTGTAGTGGTTAAGAGAGGCAGAATCTATCTGGAGAACTGGGTTTGATTCCACACTCCTCCACATGAAGCCTGCTGGGATGACCTTGGGCCTAGTCACAGTTCTTTCAGAACTCTCTTAGCCCCACTTACCTCACAAGGTACTTGCTGTGGGGAGAGGGTGGGAAGGCGATTGTAAACCACTCTGAGACTCATTAAGGTAGAAGAAAACAGGGTATTAAAACTTTTCCCCCCTCAAGCACTTTTGTCCAATAATGGAATATTAGCCACTGGGTGTGGGCAGTAGGTTGTTTAGGTCATTTTGGTCCAGAGACGCCTTCTTCAGGAGTGGCCTCACAACAGTCTCTTGCACAGTATTTGGAA